CCTTACAAGATCGTACTTAACCCATGCTTTCTTATCTGAAAGCGGAAAATGATAAAAGACATGGAAAATTGGATGAGTGCTTATGCTAAATTATGACAGGGTCAACGCGATGAAAATGATTTTGTGGTTTATATAATTTCAAAACAATCGCTGATTTGGCCAAAAAAGGAATAGATAAGTTGGTCTAAGGGCTTCATCCATCATCATACAGCGCTGAATAGACAGATCACTCCACAGGAATTAATATATTTATACAAACACCCTTTAAGCTATCATCCATTTCATAATCATAAAAGAATTCCACATCTCATTACCAGTGTTGCAAAACTTTCGTGCTTATTAATACACTTTTTTAAAAATTCACAAACATTTTCATATGTAATCAAAACTTGAATTGCAAATGATTGCGAGACAATGCGTAAGTTATTTGTCATATCCACTGCAAGGGAAACATAGGATATGATTCTGGAACATCATAACAGGCATATCTGAGCAACCACAGCAAAACATACTAATTTTCTACTAAATGTGATGGAATCAGGAATGAATATTTTATCAGAATCTCACTTGTCACTCCATTAAACCTCACTGAGGTGCTCTGAAAGCAAATATTTATAGCTTTATGAAACACAAATGCTAGATAAGAGGTTAAAAATTAAACATATAGCTATGGGATACTAGGTATATTTTCAAAATGATTCATACTGGCGAAAAATTCAAGTACTGAAAATCTCGTTGAAGATATATCTTCTTTGCTTTTCTGAGATTAAAGTAGCTACAAGCCTTACCTCCATTTTTTAATTGTTTGAATATGTTAGAGAGGAAAGAAAAAGCACCCCAAGTGGTGGCCGACCATAGCCTACTGTTGGAACTAGCAAATCCACGGAGTAGCAAATCCCAACGAACAAACTATATTTTAATTTATTATATCCTACTAGTCAGTATGACAGAAAAATCAGGAAGTGGTAGAGTAGTATCGTCACTTTTTAGCAAAAGCAAAATCTATGATGTGATGACGTGCCGCCATATATTAAATTCTTCCATGACCATGATTATTAAACTAGCATATAAATTTGGACCAAATCTGTTAATTCTTTCATCAATCCGTATTATTACCTTGCCTGGCCTGTTCTAGGGGTATAATTGCTTGTTTAAAAGGCAGTGGCGGATCCAGGAATCAACAAGGGGGGGGGGGGGGGGGGGGCAAATTTCTGGTCAGAGAAAAAAACGGAAAAAAATTTGGGCCCTTAAAACCAAAAAACTGGGCCCAAATTTTGAAATTTTGAGGCCCATTTTCTTCAAAATTTGGCAAAAAATAAGGCCTTAGAAGGCCTAGTAATGACCAAAAAGGCCTTTTTTAGCCCAATATTTTTTGGGCCCAATTTTTTTTTCTCTGGGCCCAACTTAGGGGGGGGGGCCCTATGCCCCCCGGATATTTTACGTTATCGACCTGGGCAATATGTGATGCAATATTTGGCCCCTCGTGCTAGTTTCCATATCCGCCCTTGCCTTCACACCAAACTTAAAAATCCTTAAAAATGTTAAAAACTATTTGAACTGATAAACGTAGTTGGAACTCTTAACAAACTTGCTGGACCTGCTTGGATGGGAAGGATCAAATAACTTGATTTAAACCCTGGACTCATTGTGTATTGTGGACTGATTATAAATCCTCGCGTTGTTTCAAACTTTGCACAGCATCGAGAGTAAGTTTAGGAAACAACGCCCGAGCGGAATGAATCAGCAACAATGCATTGTCTCTTTGGCTTAATTCTTTTCACACATTGCAAAATATTTTATATCATATATATTATATCACTTAAAAGATACGAAATGACTTAAGAATATATTTTCAAGGAAACTTTTTTTGCTCCGGGATCTGTTCAAAACTCCGATGGCGTCCATCCCCGTTCTTGTTCATCGTGTTCACGGGCATACCTAATTCAACCGAAGTCGAGTTTACAATTAACAATTAGCAAGGTTCCCATTAAGATCCATTTGTTTTTTTGTAGGTCCACGAACTAGCATCAGATTTTAGAACGTTTCACCACGACAACAGTCCGATAAATTCTATTTTTCGGACGGGGTAGGACGCTCATGTATCTCTTTAAAATTTAAAACGTAATTGATTGGCGGCGTTTTGATTCAAGTATCAGACTAAGAGACTGTACCACTGTAAAATTTGGACTGACGTTCTTTAAAGGTGCAATAATTAGGGCAGAGGGGTCATTCAGCGATCATGGACCAGTGTCAAAATATATTTAAGTTTGGATATTTCATCAAGACTAACATATATTTTTATTATCTACAAAGAAACCCCCTAGATAAACATTATTTTAGCTGATATTCCTCTTGAAACATGGTTGATCTTAAAAATATAAAAGTGGAAGTCCCCTTTTTGAAGCTTTGAACTGAATTTACACTTCTTAATGCTGAAATTGATAATTTATCCATACATTTTAAGAAAATAGGTATGTCAAAGAAGATGTTAAACCAAATGTTGCCTTGATAGCTCAGAAAAAATGAAAAAACTTTCCTATTTTCTCTACAGTCCTTATTGCCCCTTTAAGATCCAAACTGGAAATGCAGATTTACTGTGGGGATTTTTACTTCTTTACAGCACAGAGAATCCATGTTTGACATTTTAACTTGGAGGGAAGAACATGTGAAAGTATTTAAGATGGTGTTAAAACATGCTCGACTAGAAAGCAGAAAATTGTCTGAGGTGAGGTGTGAAACATGGAGAGAATGAGACAAATCGCTAGTAAATATCGCTTTTTTTCACAGTACTCATCTTCTGGTCACGTTTAATCCATTCTATTTCTCCCTTTTTGAATGAATTTACCCTATCATTCGATTTCTATTCCATTTAGTCAGTGTGTCTTTGATGTCCATTTCTTGGTTCGTCCATTCTTTTCTACTACATTTTCAAGCACAACCAAAGTGGACTTTTTCTGAGGGTAAAAGACGCCATTGTGCTCCTCATCACAGTTGTAACCTATCTACTGATATTATTTTTTAGAAATTGTAGAATTTGAGTATCTTGGAAATTTCACAGCTCACCAGCATTAGAAGCACTCGTCTCTTTCAAGAAAAGCCTCGTTGGTCATGTTTTAAAACGTAAAATAGGGAGGAAAAGAGTGGACTTTGCAGCCAATTAATTAAACAAAACTAAAGAATAAACTCCAAATAGTGTGGAAATGATGAAAATCAGGCGCTTTATTCAAATTTTGAAGAGAAACAGCATGGAAATACCATGACCAGTTGGACATTTTGAAGAATGGAGTTTCACTCAGGCACAACTGTGAATTTGTATCTCATGACAACAATACAAGACGTTTTGCTACATTTAACCTTAAATACTGGTAATTCAGACTGTTTTCAGCAGTGGGACTGTTTTAAGATGCCTCTGCATGGTGAGAATTGTAATTGAGCATGTGTGAAAAATCAAAGAATTACAAAATCATGTAAAAGTTGGACTCTGTAATAGCCATGTTTTCTTTATTCATACAGATAGCAAATCGATTTCTTTCAAATTCATACACTCATCTTATATTGTTTCATTTAATTCTCCCATTCTGTTTAAAATAACATAAAATTTTAGACCACCTTGTAAAATTGATTATACAAAACCATGGGCTTTCAATTAGAGTTGAAAGCCCATGACAAAACCAAACATAATCCAGTTGTGTTTTCTGAAATAAGAAGCTGATAACATTTTCAATACCTAATAAAAATCACTTGGCTCTGCTGAAGCATATATTCAACCAAGTTTTCCTCACACTTTGAATTCCTTAACATATTTCCTCTTGCTCCTGATAGTTCCTGACTCTAAAGGCCTAAATTGTGATAAATAGTAACCACCAACATGTTTTGTTTGTTTTAAGCATCATCCAGTCAGTGGCAATTATGATATATGGTTTGTTATGTTTCTACAGAAGATGCCCCTGTTCACACATATTTATAAGAAGTTTTCATCAAAATACCAACTAATTGTATTGTATTGTATTTTGTTTACCACCAATGAACATGATGAAGGTGAGGAAAAGCTCTTCGGTATATCCCGTATATATATGTAATTAGCCTGGAAGATAGACCTAGAAACCCATCCTCAAAGGAGCCCTGTGTTCTTTTATGTGCACCAATACATAGACAATAGACATATAAGTACACACCACAGCCTTTTGTACGAGTTGTGGACCACTCAGTCAAACACCCTGAAGTACTTTACACAAACAAACAAATTAAGTCTTGCCTGAACCGGGGAGCGAATCCAGGACCTATTGCGTAAGAGGTATCTCTGCTACCACTGAGCTATATGGGTGGACTTTTTTACATTTTCAAAATCATTGATACCTAATAGAGATATTTCACTCGGAACATCTTTTCATATATTGTAATATTACTTTAAATAGCAGCGTACATTTTGGATAAAACTTTTGGACATTATGTTAAAAATAAAAACTTAAAGAGATATTTCACTCAGAAAATTTATTAATATCCAGGTACTATAATATTGCTTAAAACATCAGAATACATTTCTGACAATACTTGAACAAAACTAGTACGTTAAATAACTACCAAATCTATAAATTATATTTCAAAATATTTAAAGTAACTTATATGACAGGTATAAGAAAAAAGTGAACGTATATACCGGTAAGTAAAATTTGTCAATTCTCTTAGCTAAATGTTCCAACTTTTCTGTTTCCACTAATATGTACATTCTTCACTAAGGAACTGAATCAACTGACTGTATGGTTGTATTTACAATGGATGAATAGAGTCAATGACATTATAAATTTATATTAGTGTGGGTCTTAGGATTGTTCGGATTGTTCTATCACTCAACAAGTGGCAATCAACTTGTTTTTTCACATTCACCAATGAAAAATTACACTCGTCACAGTGTTGCACTGATAAATTATATGTATACTCACAGTTTTCTTGTGAATAAAAGAAAGTAATATGTTTATGAAAGTACTTAAAATTGACTTTGTTCTATAATATTCAACAATGGCAAGTTTCATGTTTTTCATGTTAGACAATGTGAAAAGGCACTTCAATTTTACACTCGACTCTAAACATTTACATCCGCCTGGGGCTACTGTGGAGTGGATATGACCCACACTGTATATAAATAATTGCAATTTTTACATCCAATTTCTAATGTTATATACTCTAACATCTAACATTTTACAACATTGATGTTAAGAACACAAATCTTGTTTCTAGTCATCAAGCCTAAAATTCAGACCCGTAGGCAGGATTTTTTTATTTGAAATTTCAGCAATCATTACTTCAGAATAATTTTCCAAGCCTTGTATTTTTCTAAGAAAAACATTCTTGCTACTTGTGGACTAAGATAAAAGAGACATCTTTATCTCAGCCAGAGAAAATAATTTGACAGTGTTGGTGCATTCCAAATTTTATACTGTATTGTGCTGCCATCTTTCCAATTCAAACATACCAAAATCTGCAATGTGCTAAAGTAGAGTTTGTTTTCAAGTACAATACAAAATATTATATTCCACACATTGACAGTCGCATGATTGACTAAGAACTCCACTTATCTTTACGCTAAGGCTTAGTATGTATATCTTCTAAGGCTTTCACAGTCTCAGCACAGGTTTTGATGAGATTGCACAGCTGTATACTGCCTTCAACACTCACTGAACATCCTAGTTCCTTTCTAGCCCAGTCCATTTTCTGCATCACCTGTGTAACTGTATCCTGTACCTCCCATGGTACCTGAACTGTTTTATGTACCTTCTGTGCAGTTTGGGGCGATTCTGGGTTGAGAAAACCTGCAGACTGGCCTGTTGTTGTAGTACCACAGTCCATAGTGTTCATAGAATAGTCCTGTTCATCAATGCCATTATTAATATTCAAGGTTGAGTTGTTTGATTCAGAGCTGGACCTGACATGTTGTTCTCTGGCTTGTACGAGGGCTGCCTGGGAGTTTAGAGCTAAAACAACAGTAAATATTAGAGATGCAAAAATGGCACCATTTAGTGAGGCACAGTTTTAGGAGGTGGGACCAATAACAAGAATTACTATCATAGAGCCACATAGAAGTTCAAACTAATGGAAATCATTTCACTCATTAAGTTATTTTGAAGCAACTTGAATATCAAACAATAGTAATGGACCTGAAATGACTGTCACAATTATTTCTTTTTTTGTTAAGCAAGACATTAGAATAATTGAGTCAGTGAAAATATTTAAATTGGGTCTTCCCACTATACTTCCTGACCAGTATTCGAAGAAAGAAGGTAGGATAAGGGCTTCAATACTGTATGAATCTATACGGGTTTGAAGGGACAGCACCTATACTGGTGTACTGAGACTATACTATGAACTATTGTAATGGCAATATGGCACAACATATTTTGGGGACAAAAAATGAAATACAATGTATCAAGAATGCTAGATGCTGTACCTGGATTGTCCTTGTCTGTATCAGAATCAAGTTCACTACATGAAACACAATACTCCAAGCCTTGCTTTGTTCGCAATAATACAGTCTGAAAATTCAAGCACACAATATCAAAGCCATATACAGTACATTCAGTCATCCCAGGGCTCTACAATGTTAAATAATAATTAGTAATTAAAAATAATTGGAAATTAAAAAAAACTGCATCTGAGCCATGTAGCTTGACAAACTAGATAAAAAACTAGATAAAAACAGCAACTCCACGGAGTAGCCACCCACCAAACAAAACATATTTTGATAATTAGTGGCCATCTTGAAAATTTCTTCTTGAACAGAGCATATCAGCACATAAAATTTGAACCAAATCCATCCACTGGTTTTTGAGTTATCAAAGATTATGTTTCTTCCGAAAAATTTAGCTGCCATCTTGAAAATTTCTTGAGCAGAGCTCCTTTGTCCCAAGGTAGCATCATATAAAATTTGAACCAAATCCGTCAATTGGTATTTCAGTTATCAAAGATTACATTATTTAGGACAAATGGCCGTCATTCTAAAAACAGTGGCCATCTTGAAAATATCTTCTTAAGCAAAGCCTCTTTTATCTTTAAGCACCAGCATATAAAACCACTGGTATTTGATTTATCAAAGATAACATTTTTTTATGAAAAATGGTGGCCATTATGAAATTCAGCTGTCATCTTGAAAATTTCTTCCCGGGCAGCATTCCGTTGTCCCTAAGCATCAGCATATAACATTTGAACTAGATCAATCCCCGATATTTGAGTTATCAAAGATTACGTTTTTTAATGAAAATGGGTGGCCATTTTGAAATTCGGCCTCCATCATTAAATTCTTTCTTGAACAGAGCAACTGTGTCCCTAGGCATGGGCATATAAAATTTGAACCAAATCTGTTCACTGATATTTGAGTTATCAAAGATTACATTGGCGGCCATTTTAGATTGAGTGGCCATATTGAAAATTCGTTCTCAAACAGAGTTCCTACACCCATAAGGCATTAGCCTATAAAATTTGAAGCAAATCCGTCAACTGGTATTTGAGTTGTGGCCCGACACACGAACGAATGGACGAACACACGTACAGACAGGTTCTCTATATCCCTAGGAACTTCATTCGTTGGGATAATAAAATATATGTATATTGTATATAAGAACTTATCCCTAGGTTTTATGTGTTAAAATGTTAATGCACTTTCACGACATGATTCCACACACACCTTAGTCACACATATGATATGACTGTCTCATTTGCTACAGCAAAGAGTCTGCCCAATGGCTATAAACCAGAACAACGGCAACGCCAAAGCGTAGCAAATCCCATCGAACACCTTGGATGGGATTTTTACAAACAAAGTATATAGCAAAAATGGCAGCCATTTTTCAAAGTGTGGTCGCCTTCTACCAAAAGTGTCATTAGACCATGTGCCATGCTTATAGTATTCACATACCAAATATGAACAAAATCGCTCCACTTCTTTTTAAGTTATAGTAAAATATGTTAAAATGGCGGCCATTTTTCAAAATGGCCACCTTCTACCAAAAGTGCCATTAGACAGTGTGCTGTGCTTATGGTATTACATACCAAATATAAAGAAAATCGCTCCACTACTATTCGAGTTATAGTAAAATACGTTATAATGGCGGCCATTTTGAAAAATGTCCGCCTTCTACAAAAAGTGTCATTAGACAGTGTGCCATGCTTACAGTATTCACATACCAAATATGAACAAAATCGCTCCACTACTTTTCGAGTTATAGTAAAATATGTTAAAATGGCCGCCATTTTTCAAAATGGCCACCATTTTTCAAAATGGCCGCCTTCTACCAAAAGTGTCTTTAGACAGTGTGCAATGTTTATAGTATTCACATACCAAATATGAACAAAATTGCTCCACTACTTTTCGAGTTACAGCAAAAATCGTAAAATAACGAGCAAAGGCCGCCATTTTTCAAGATGGCTGCCATGTGCTTCTTTAATATCTACATTTCTAGCTTTATTAATATCCTTTATATTTTTTTTTACATCTAAAACATACTGCTATTACAGTTTTACATATTGCACCTAAATTACTGTAAATTCGGCACTAAAATGGCCGCCATTTTGAAACGAGTGGCCATTTCGAAAATCAGCTTTCGAGCAGAACTTCTACCTCCATAGGGTATATGCGTACAAAATATGAACAAAATCGGGCCAACGGTATTTGAGTTATTGCCCGGACGGACGGACGGAGGCGTTCCCTATATCCCTCCGAACTTCGTTCGATGGGATAATAATCTAAGACCATGTTGAAAATTGAGCAATAATTTGTTCCAATTTACTGAACAATATCATTCATAGCAAACATAAATTTAGCCATTAAACAAAATAGAATATGTAACTAATAAACTAAAACCCAATATGACCCTTACATTACATTTGCCACATGATGTTCCTAGCATTGTGTATCCCTTCAGCATGTACTCTCCCATCAGTTTGCTGATCTTGTCACTGCGCTCACGTCGAGCTTCGATTGCTTTCATCTCTGCCTCAGTAGGCGGTGTCCATTCAAATTGTTCTACAAAACAGATGGGTTGTGACTATAAATAGTAAATTGACAAGTTATGCTTGCTGTTTACCAGCCATCACCAAAACGAAGCTGTATTTTGGTACTATCATTAGTATAGCTCAACTTGACTTATTTAAAACTGAGAGATGTTTATAAGGATTAAAAAATATACCCATTCTTCATGATTTTTCTCATTTTCAGGTGGATGCAAATGGATTTTCAGGTGGGTACAAGCCTATTTTTTAAAATTTCAGGTGGGTGCTGCACCCACCTGCTTAAATTCTGGGGAGATCACTGATATGTACACAGGATGGGCCAATAAAAGTGTCAAGATAACTTTTTCAATATTTACCCAGCATGCCCAAAACCTAATCAGATGTTGGCACTCGTCTCCTCTAGCATGTGTAACATTTTAATTTGAATCATAGCCAGCCTTTGCCAATGTTCACTTTTCAAAATTCAAGTAAATTACGACAGCCAATCAGATTGTGAGTTCTTAATCGGGGAAATGCTAACTACTTATCGCAGGGGGTAAAAAGAAAGAATATATTCTGGATTTTGAAGCCCTGTGATCGGAGGATGGCATTGAAGCGAGCCCAAGAATTTTAGAAAAAAATTGTGTATATAATTTTCAGACCCCAAAGAAAAACTTCTGGTTTGTTGTTCATAATAAAAGATTGTTTCAGCCTGGAATCGAATCCACGCCGTAAAAACGAAAGGCGAACGCTCTTACCACCAGAGCGGCTTTTCCATAGTTTGTTTTAACTTTTGCAAGTTTATAGTAATAAACATGTGTTATATTTTTAAGTGGCATTCTGGGTCAAAAAACTTTAGAAACTGTTGTTTTATTTTGTAGATTACGTAAATATCAATAAAAAACATTATAAACACACTCTCTAGCCAAAACACTATAGATAGAATGCAATAATATGTAGTAAAATTTTAAATGTTTAGAACTACTTTGAATTCAAATAAGCCACACGGTGAACAGAATCGCACCCTTAAACAGAATACACTTTTCGGGATGGAAAATTCAAAATGGCCACCTTAACATTTACCCAGACCGCCTAAAAACTAATCGGTTCTAAACTTTCCATAGAAACATCTCTAAAATTTTAGGATGAATCCATGAAACCTGTAAACAACCCTCAAGAGACACGTTTTAAGGTATTACTTCACAGTGTATCAGCTTTTTTTCTACAATTCAGATTTTCCTGAAAAAATCCTGGTAAAAGATATACTGATGTATTACAAAATATGTGAAACTTGGAAAGTTTGACCGTTTAGTTATTTCTAAAAAAATGTTTTAATTTAACATTGCTCTCAATGGGAAATTCTTTTCCCTTCACAGACATGATTTTAGGACGAAAAATCCAAAATGGCCACCTTAACATTTACCAAGAATGAAGAAAAACTAATCAGTTCTAAACTTTTATAGGTAGAAACATCTCTGAGAATTTCAAATGAATCACTCAAACGGTTTGGCTGGAAACCTGTAGACAAGCCTTGACAGACAAGATTTTAGCACGGAAAATCCAAAATGGCCGCCTTAACATTTACCAAGAATGACGAAAAACTAATCAGTTCTAAACTTTCATAGGTAGAAACATCCCTGAGAATTTCAAATGAATCCCTCAAACAGTTTGGCTGGAAACCTGTAGACAAGCCTTGAGAGACTAGATTTTAGAATGGAAAATCCAAAATGGCCGCCTTAACATTTATCCAGAATGCCGAAAAACTTATCAGTTCTAAACTTTCATAGGTAGAAACATCCCTGAGAATTTCAAATGAATCCCTCAAACGGTTTGGCTAGAAACCTGTAGACAAGCCTTGACAGACAAGATTTTGGGACGGAAAATGGCCGCCTTAACATTTACCCAGAATGCCGAAAAACTAATCAGTTTACTTTATTACTATATTACTTACATTGAATAAGAATAAGACTGATTTTTTATTAATGACTGTATATGGGTGAATATTCAAATCAACTATCCAGAAATTACCCCATTGCTACATAACTATGTCGGGAAGGAAGAAAGACATGTGAAAATGTTGCTCGGAAAGAAGTTCATTTTATGACTCTAGTCACAGGCCTGTCAACTGTCCCGCAATTTGCGTATTTGTCACGCATTTGCTGAAGAATTTGAAGTCACGCCAGTTATTTTTGCGTGACAGAAAATGTCACGCAAATACCCATTTTACCTGGTTATTGTCAAGCAAAAATATTTCTGTAGAAAAATTTATAAAAAAGATCGTTTACACAGCAAAAATACGAAATGTACGCATTTCGTTCGGACTTTTTTTCACGCGAATTACGTATATGTCACGCATTCCGTTCGAAATTTTTCGTACCTTCCCCCCCCCCCGTTGATGGATGTTTGAAACGCGAGCGTAGCGAGCGCGAAAAATTTGAGGTGTTCAAAATTTGGCAAGATGTAATGAAATTTAAACCAAGACTGTTCAAAATTTGGATCAAGGTGTTCAGATTTGGACCAAGGTGTCCACATTTTGAGGGGAGGTGTTCAACATTTCCAAGTCACTCATGTTAGGTGTTCCCAAGTTGACAGGCCTGTAGTCATTACTTAGGATATACATAGCAGGACGGTAGAAACAGTGGTATTCTTTGAGTTGAGCATCCAAATATGACATAGTGAGTAGATCTAGTATTTATCTTACGAATTACATGTAATTTATTGGATGTACATTTGGAAAAAAATATCCAAATTTTAAAAATCAACAAATGCTAAAGCTTTCTTCAAGGTTATATATATTTTACAAGTGGATCCAAGAGATTTATTTTGCAGGGGTGGCAGGATATACACATACCCTATCAATTTCCACATACTCAAATTGCCTTTTAGTGGTCAATAAATATCAGATCTGTTAATTCCAAAATCAGAAGCGAATTGAATAATATAGATTAGAATTAAATGAACAAATAAATTATTGGCCAATGATTCAGGGGTTTCATCTCAGCAACAGGCAATTTTTACAAGTTGTTTTTTAAAATTGCCTGTTGTTTTCAATATAAAAAAATCAAATTTTCTCTTAATTTTGAGAGTATGCAATGGCGTTTTTGCGTATATGATGCTACGCTATTGGCTGCACCGCCTTGTCACTTGCTAGCTTTGCCCCTACATACATGTAACCATATATTTGAGTCTACAGAATAGAAATAAGAGGATGGTTATTCAGTTGACTTTTGAAAAGGGTTAATTTTATTCTGTCTGTCTCAACAAAACAGGAATATCCCAGAATTCATACAGTCATACTTCTCTTATGTAAACTATATCTTTGATTGGCCAAGGGTTCATCTATAATCCTGGGAAATGACCTCTTCTGGACGTAAAGCGTGGGAACATCTGATTTGACCAGTTCCCAGTGCGTCACCTGTCATTTTTCTGGAATTATGTACACTTTCCTCCAAAGGATTGGAAACAATTGTAGTACAGTAAAACCTGTATATCTGAACACTTGGCTAATCCGAACACTTCCCAATTTGAACATTTTTTGGTCCCGTTTTTCCTCCCATTGACTCAAATGTTGAAAAACCTTGAAATGTGAACAACTCCCAATTTGAACAGTGAACAGTCATGTTTGAAAAGTTAACCTGTCTAATCTGAACATTTTTCATATAATATCACATGTTACATACAAAATTGATCAAATATTTGATGATCTCACTCATGGTGATGCTTTCTAGGATGAATAAATTCATTTGAATCAGATTTCCATGTCACTGTAATGCCAAAAGCTATGTAGTCAACAGAACTATAAATATTTTTGAATTTGTTCCTATTTCTCCAAAATCCAAAATCTTGCAAATGCAAAACCTCAAAATGTGAATACCTCCTAATCCGAACGTTTTTAACTGGTCCCTCGGATTAGATAGGTTTTACTTTAGGTACAATCCCCTCTAAAAGTTACTGAGATCACTGGCTGGGAATTGGTGTTTGCTTACACACAGGTGTTCAATAGAGTAGACTTGTGTGTTCGTTGGGCACAGATCTTCACTAAAGAGGTGTTCATTATGACAGTTTTACTGTACTGAAATCAATCCTGGGAATTTACTATATACAAAATTGAAATGTGTGTATCATGCCACCCCTGCAAAATAATTGACTGGTCCACTTGGTCTCTTGGATCCACTTGCAAAATATATAACCTTTCTTCAAGGCTAAGCTTACAGAGCCAGAAGAAATATTCAAGAAAATAATTTTCAAAACCTAATTTTGATTCATCCTGACAACCAACTTTTACAAATTATAGATATATTTATGACACTGCAAAACCTGTAACATGTCACACATGAATATTTCTTGTCCATTACATGTATAAGGTGTAAAACGGGAAAAGGCGATACCTTTTCAGAAATCTACAAACCTGCCATGCTGAATATTGAGACCTCTTGAACAAACAAGGAACAAAGGTACTTCCCTGAAGTCTTGCAAATACATGCATGTGATCTGAGGCTCAGCATGTGATATCAATTTGTATTGAAATCACACAGTTCAAATATTGTTAGACCTTACTCACTTCGAGAGCCATGTTAGATTTTGAAACTTATATCAAAATCCAAACTCTAATCTAGCTTTCGCAGGAAGTAAGTTAGACCTTGATTGAATATGTGGCATTGTGGGATCCACAGCCTTTACTATCCTTTTGGAATAGTTCAAAAACGTTAGGTAAAGAGGGACTCTGATAAATCAGAATGAATATGTGGTATTATATCTCTAAACTCATGTAATTCATTGGATTACAAATGAATATGTGCCAGGGGTCTTTCAAACAAATGACGTCAGGAGGAGTTCCCCAAAAACATGTTTTACTTTCATAAATGAAACTTTAATTTGTTTTAGTCCAGAATAACAGTTGATCAGCCCGTTTCAGTTCCGCATAATGGTTCAGACAGAAATGGGACTCGTCAAGATTGCAGGGATGCAGTTTGCATCCGGAGGGTGCGCAGGTACATGTACACAATTACAGTAGATGTATTTATTTCCTATTTAGCAAGAGTCAGAACAATCAGAACTTTATGAGATCTATTATAAACATAAATATGATAAATTTCTTGCATTTAGCATGTACTCTAGGTAATTATTACTTTCCCTGGATTTAGGCTTGAGGATACGATTTTACATTTATCGAACTTTATTACCAGCCCTTGAACATGGGCTTTCAACTATGAATTAGTACTGTATTGAGAAAAATCAAAATGAAGGTGTGATGCATAATATAAAGCAAACATGGTAAATAAAGTGAGCCCCATCGCTGATTGGTCAAAATCGAAATGTCGTGACTGGCCCTGACTATATTCAAGACAGTGCGAATAAGCTCGGAGTCTGTTTATTTAAGGTAACGCTAAAGTTATTAAACACATTTTTTATAACTATGCATTGGAGTAACCAAAGCAGTTTGGCCCAGTTTATCTACTCCTGATGTCGTAGACTGGGCAAAAGAAGATCCAATGCAAAAAAGGGTGGATTAAGTTACTCCGGAAAAACACACTTGTTTTTCAATGTATAATACATGCTGATGAATGAATAAACATAAAAAAAACACTTACGTGTTTGTTCTTTGTATCAAACTTTGTATTTATTTATATTAGGTTTCCATCGCTGGATGACGAAGAACGAAACGATTAAACGCAGCAAAAAGAAAAATTCTTCTGCAATCTGTTCTTGATCTTTTAGAATATCGGCTGCATATTTCGTTCAGTACTATATTTGGTCAGTTCAACAAATTGAAAAATCGTATATCATATTTCGTTCAAGTCTAAATACAACACAGATACGTCTGTTTTATAATGTAGGCTCCGTTTTGATTCCTGGGAAATGTATTTTCATTCCATGAAAGTTTGGGTCATACTTGTGTTACGTCACATCACGTGACTTTATTCGGTGCGGAGAACTGACGAAAATATTGACGAAATGTTGTGCCCATTTCAACATCAATAAAACAAACAAAACACCACATTTACGTGTAAGTTATATACTCTTTATTTCAAATAAATACAGGGTGTTCAAAAAAACGCAACCCAAAGAAATCGCTATATCTTGAAAAATACTGGTTCAATAATGTTCATATTTTCAGGAAATAAAGAAGAGACTGTGTATGTATTTAGTATGTATAGCTCTTGTAAATGGTTACAGTAGTTTTAAAACATGATACCTTGGATACCTGCTCAAAAGACAGTTGTACTAGGAGAATACAAAAAACATTTTCAGGGGTGACTGCAAAAGTAAAAACAAAATAATTTCCTAACCATAGTGTTTTGGCTCTTAAAATTTGGCACAAATCATCTTCATTCACTGTATGGAAAATCTGTAGAGAGAAATCAAAATCACTTCAGGGACTTTACAGTCATGGTCGAAATGCTTTCAAATTGCAGTCAAACACTCTGGTTCAGGGAGACTTAAGAAGGCATTTTGACCATGACTGTAAAGTCACTGGAGTGATTTTGATGAAACTCCACAAATTCACCACACATTGAATGAGGATAATTTGTGCCAAATCTGAAGTGCCAAAACACTATGGTTAGAAAGTTATTTGGTTTTATTGCTGTGGCAGTCACCTCTGACTGCGTTTTCATATTTTCCTAGTACAATTGTCATTTGAGCTGGTGCCGAAGGCATCATGTTTTACAACTTACTGACAACAGAAGCTATACATACACAGTCTCTTCTTTGTTTCCTGAAAATATCGACATAATTGGATTAGTATTTTCCAAGATATAGTGATTTCTTTGGGTTGCGTTTTTTTGAACACCCTGTACTTGGGTTTACATGGAGCATGTATAATAAGTGATGATTCAGCGTCATGTTTTTGCGGAGCAAATCCACCCTTTTTTGCATTGGACCTCGCCTGGCCCAAATCTACGAAGTTGGGAGTAGATAACTGGGCCAGACAGGTTTGGTTAGAATAGGAGGTACATGTACATGGGTCCTTAAATCTAGCATGGAGACAGTGAAGTGAGGATAACTTTTCAAATTTTCAAGGAGTAGGATTACAATGAAAACACATTCGAAGACTCCAATAAATCATCTTACCTTACCAAGGAACATCAAAGGAGCATGAAAATGTGTGCTTCTTGTATTGTTAAAGTGTAATAAAGCTCAAACCATTGTGAATTCTAAATATTTCATGTCCACCATTTTGTTTGCTGGGACTACAGTATTTTCTAGTCCAAAGTAATACTCATTTATGTATCCATTGTTTATCATTTATAAAGCCTCAATCATGTATCTATCATGATAATTATACGTGGACATGAAATATTTATAAGAAACTATGGTTTGAGATTTATCATACTCTAACAAAGCAAGAAGTGCACATTTTCATGCTCCTTCGATGTTCCTTGGTAAGGGAAGATGATTTGTGGAAATTTTGGATTCTTGCAAATGTGTCACTGTTGCAATCCTACTCCTTGAAACTTTCAAAAATTAGCCTCATTTCACGGTCTTCATGCTAGCTTTGGGGACCCATGCACCTCCAATTCATAGTTATGAAAAATGTGTTTAAATGTGAAGTTTTCTTTGACATATCTCTTTAGTCAGGAAATGCATTCACCAATAAGGAAAACCGATACAAAATTTTGTGACTTTACCCAAAAAATATGGCTGCCATTTTTTGTACTTTTGATTAACTTTAGCGTTACCTTAACAAAGGAGCATGTAGGTTATCGCAAACAATTTCAAATGATTCTAACTTGAATTATGAATATTTTCTGATCATGAACGTGGGTGTATCTTTTAGATCCATTCATTATCTTCAAGAAAAGTATATATAATGATAATTTAGTTATCAGACCTAAGTGATATTGAAGGGGCAATGGACCAATCAACATACTTTTTCAAAAATGTTGACCTTATTTTCACCAAAAATGCAACCTATAATTATATTGTTGAATGCATAATTAGAATGTGCTTTGAGACATGTTCAATTTCCTAAAAGGAAAATTTGATTGCTCCAGGGACTTTAAAGATATTCAATTTGGATGACCAAAATGAACTGAAACCAATGGATAGCATGAGATTTTTCAATGGAGAAATAACATGGGGAACACTTATCTTAAAGCAATTAAGTTTTTCTTTCAAGAACTATTTGATACATCAAAATGAAGAATAGTAATGCATTAAACATAGTAAAAAATGATTGCATTTTTGGTGAAAATGGGGTCAACATCTTCAAAATGGGGTCAAAAAGTGTGTTGATGGGTTAATTGCTAGTTAAATATCTCCGAGTTTGTTTGACTTTATTATTATTGTGCATAATTTTCTTTGAGATAATGAATTGATCGAAAAGATAAACTTGTCTTCATTGTCAGAAAATAGTCATAATCCAAGATATAACCTTCTGAAATTGTTTGCGATAACCCACGTGCTCCTTTAATGAACAATAATTTGCGTGTGTTACACTGTGTATCAAGGTGATGACAGGTTGGAAGCTTGATGAAGCAAGATGATATTTCTGGTTGGGACTTTGGTTATCAGTATAGATTTATTTACAAATATTTGCATGGACTAAAATTAATTTCTTGAATAGACCTACATGTATATCATTGATTTCAGATAAGATTATTTTTGTTTGTTACAGGATTTGTTGAAGTGTGTCTGATGAACCCATTAGATGTTGTGAAGACAAGGTTTCAAATACAACGTGGGCCAGATGATCCAAATCGTTACAAGGGTCTGGTGGACTGTTTCACACGCATGTACAAGACTGAAGGGTGAGTAAACATGTTTATCCCATTCTTTGATGTGTTTGAGGTATTTAAAGCAGATTTGTAGAGAATTGTATTTTCACCAGAAGACAGGATATAGCTTTAAATCGAGGGCTGAGCGGGCAGATATTTTATAAGAGCCAGCGACAGGTACGTCATAATAGTCGTTTGCATGTTGTGTATTTTTGTACCATTTGTAGGCATCACGATCGACCTTCATAGATATTTGATTAAATATACTCCTCATTGTCAGGAATCAAAGATTATAATTTTAAGTTAAAAAAACAAAGTCAGTATTAATATATCAGAATAATCCAAATATCCTGAACCTCATATAGGATAATCTATATATACTTTAGGCTAATATGTAATTATTATATTCTTTTGTACTCTCAACTTTTTTGAAAATCTGATTTCAAGGTAGGGAAGATTTTCAATAAAGCCCCATGCTATAAAATCATTGAAATGTAAAATATGCACCTTTTGGTGCTATATTGTGATCAGTTTGCCATACTAAAATCTTGTCTGTAAAGTCTTGTCCATGCGTTTCCAAGGCAAATGTTTGATAGATTCATTTCAGATTTTCAGGGATGTTTCTTTGTATGAGAATTTTTAGAGGTGTTTCTTTGTATAGAAATCAAGACCTAATTAATTTTGGGGCATCTTGGGTATTTCCATTGTAAAACCTTGCCTCAGAAGTCAAACTCACATTTCTAGGTGAATTGTTTGACGGATTGATTCCAAATTCCCAAAATTACAAATCAAGGACTGATTTGTTTTTAGACATTCTGGGTTCATATTAAGGCAGTCAATTTTGGATTCTCCATTCTAAAATCTTGTCTGTTAAGTCTTGTCTTGTCTTGTTCAATGGATTCATTTCAAATTTTCAGGGACATTTCTTCGTAGTTTCTGTGTATTCTGGATAAATATTAAGGTGGCCATTTTAGATTTTTCCCTTCCAGGTGAACTGTTTAACTTGTGGCATTTATATTTGCTACTTTGATTTTGATGCATTCCAGAGCATTGTCATTCTACAAGGGTATCTTGCCACCAATCCTAGCAGAGACTCCCAAAAGAGCTACAAAGTTCTTCTGCTTTGAACAATACAAATCCCTCTTTGCATTTGCACCAGTTCCTGTGGTGAGTACATAATATACATTGTATAAAAAACTGTAAATTCGAAAACCTCTGTAATTGGAACATCTCTAGATTGGAATACAGTATTTAACTTTAACAGGTTTCATTGTACCAATGAGTGATATGTCTTTAATTCAAATAAGATTGTCAATGAAACTACAAATTTAAAATCTTGGAGAGTTGTTTTCTTGTTTTGCCTCTTCCCATCTTTCTGGCTAGCCCTTTCCTTATAGTTATTCCCAGGGTTAGCCCCCCCCCTTCATATCATTCACAAGATTAGCCCCCCCTCCCTTCATATCATTCACAAGATTAGCCCCTCCTCCCTTCATATCATTCACAAGATTAGCCCCTCCTTCATTTCATACTCCTAATACAATTGACATTGCAGATGCTGTCCATGGCAGGGTTGTTCTCTGGATTGACAGAGGCTATAGTCATTAATCCATTTGAAGTTGTCAAAGTCAAACTTCAGGCTGAAAGGTCAACATTTGCTGAAGTGAGTAGAACTATTAAGAAGCATTATAAGTGAATCTAATAACCTTACAGTAGATAAGCCACAAAGAATTTAATGAGTTTTTGGAAATGGTCTGACCATGATGTACAATCAGGATATTATATCAGGATTTTAGCATTCTATAATAAAAGCTGCTGATTGTGCTCATTCAGTTGCTTCAAATGATGAACTTTTTGTAAATGCTTTTCAGCAAAAGTCAGCATTTGCCACAGCCAGGCAGATTGTGACTGTCCATGGATATGGTGCTCATGGTTTATCTAAAGGTCTTACCTCAACATTAGGAAGACATGGCATCTGGAACATGTTTTACTTTGGGTTCTATCACAATGTCAAGGAACTTATTCCAGTACCAGAGGTGGGTGTTAATTCTGTTCTGCTGTGATGATCTCCCAAGCATTGAAACAACTGAGTGCCACAGACATATGAGAATTGGGACACTGCCTTGTATGACGTGTTAGACTTCATTTGTATCCAGATATTTGAAAATTTGGAAAAGTGTTTAGATTTGACCAGTTTTTGGAGATTTCATAATTAGCATCAGTATTTTGCACTGTACTGTATACAAAAAGAAGTTTGATATTCCCATTTTCTGCTTTATTTAAGTTTGAATAAAATTCAATTTTGTTTATGTTGAACAACTTATTATGAAAATCTTATATTGGTAAAACAAGATAAATATGTATTTTTTTAAATTTTTCTTTCTAGGATCCAAAGTATGATCTAGCAAGGAGATTTCTTATTGGTCTAGCTGCTGGGTCCCTTGCTTCAGTCATGAACATTCCATTTGATGTTGCCAAGAGTCGTATACAGGGCCCCCAACCCGTACCAGGGCAAATCAAATATAGATACTGCTTCAAGACTATTGCTATGATATACAGAGAAGAGGGGTAAGAAATAAATCTACTGGCGATCATCTCTGATTCTATTTTGCCATACTAAGGATTTGGTTTATTTTGAATTCTTGCAACTTGGAAATTAGATTATTAAAAATTTACTATACATGTATTTTGTATTATTAATAATTTTTGATAATTTTTGTTTAATTCAGATTACAATTTCTGCATGATTTAGGTTACAATGCCCTTTAATGATGTTTATTTGTGATGTTTATTTACAGATTCCTTGCTCTATATAAAGGGCTGCTGCCAAAGTTATTGAGATTGGGACCAGGTAACAAAAATCATGCATTGTTGATCTAAAAGATGCAGTCTCCCCCTTAATTTTTCAAATGACAACCATCTTTCACTCACCGAATGAGTTTCCTAGTAATATTTTGAGGAAATAATGACCATGATTTTGTTTGTTGGACATAGCCAAATGCGGAAATAGAATATCTGAGGTGAAAATGTTCAGAACAAAACAACATTATTGTGAGACCGCATTGTTCTGGATTTTTAAGAAATACAAATTCTCAGGGAATATTAATATTTCTATTGACCACATAGCTTTATGGCATTCCAAAATGTGATTCTAATGAATTAAGTCATGCTAGAAAGACTCATTATGATCTTTATTTTCAGGTGGTGCTATTATGCTCATAGTCTACGAAAATGTTTTTGAATTTATGAAGAAAAACTTTGGCTGATTCCATGCGGTAAGAACAGTGCTTAGTGTCTTAACCTATACTAGTCAATTTGAGAACATATAGATGGGTGAAGGTATTTTACACATGCAGTATTTTCATTTGCCAAAGAGTCGATTCTCATTTAGTCTGGAAATATTATAGTTCAGTGTTTAAAGTAAAACCTGTGTCAGTGTTCCACTCTCAGCTGTATATTGATTGATTTGTCCATGTAGTTTCACTTTTACCATTGATTTAATAAAAGAAAGTATGTAACATACATGTATAGATGATTTTCACCATCTGCCATTTGCAAGAGAAATGTGAGGGACTTGTGTGTATTTTTGCAATGCTTATCCCATATTGATATTAAAAGAAGAACTTGTAAGAGGGCTGGGGAAGATATCTATGAAATATTTTTTGAAAGTTCAATTTAATGAAGACTCATTGAAATTCCAATACTTCCCCTGACATACATTCTCAAAATGAAATTAGAAACATTGGTATTAGACTCAACCCTAAAGATACACAAGCCTGGTAGCTCATGTAGTTGGCCTTTTTGATATGATAAAGATATAACATGATGATTTATTGTAAGATGTTATCATTTTTTAAGAGAACTACTTGTTTTCTTTTGAATATTCAAGGTCTATTAAAGGGGTATAACCTCTATTGCCTGACAAAAAAACTACAAACCAAACAAATGTCCTAGTGTATCTTGTATATATATTTTTTATTTTAGTAATTTACATATGGTTGTGATGTCTACATATGTATTAATCTGGCCAAAATGACTTCATGCTTTGAAAGCCCAACATTGCTGTTGATAGCTCAAAACCTTTTTTGCATGTTATCACCTGTTGCATGACACTCACAGAGCAATTGATGCTTAAGTGAAAATAATAGACATATGATTTGATTGGGGCAAATGTACAAATATTTTGACCATTGGGACAACTTTTTTTTAGTTTATATTTGATTTAGAACTTATAATCGTATTCATAAAAATATTATTTTTATGAAATAAATGTAAAAATGTTTGAATTGAGAGCCATCTATATAACATTTTCACAGCTATTCTGTTGGCCAGAATAACAGAAGATGAATATCTCAACATTAATGAATAATGAGTCATTTTACATATCTAAGAGGCAATACAGTGCCAGTATTATTATGAGTATGACATAATTATGTATTTACAGCTACCCAGCTACCCATGTATGAGTACTGTATATACAGTATACAGTGCATTTACATACGGACATATATATCATCTGAAAGCTCAATGTTTCCAAGTTAGAATAAGATTTGCTTGATTTACTTTGAAAATTAGTTTTTATTTGTTTTTTTTGTCATCATAGATCTATCCAAATTATCATAACTTCTTTCATGCGGGAAAAGGTGTCAGTCAGTGTTATTGGAAATTATTATTTTGTTTAATCAATTCTATTTCATAATCTACCCTGAGTGTGATCAGAGCTTTGTGCATTAGACTCTGAATATGAGAAATGAACACACAGTTGTGAACTTGTGATGCTGATATTAATGACCCCAAAGTAGCTGTAATGGGCTGTCCTGCTATTTTGATTGGTTAGCTGCATTTTTATCAACCAAATTCTCAGCATTCTGATTGGTCAAGGTTGGATCAAAGAATAAAAATGTCAATTTTTTGGCCACAAGTCAGTCAATTGACTAATCTTTATTGTGATAGTATTAAATAGTTAATAGGATGTGTAAGGGTGAATTATTGGCTGTTGAAAAGGGATGTGGACAGTGTTATCAAGAAACATGCTGTAAAGTATCCTCATGCATGGGGTACTATAAGTTAGTTAGGTGCTAAATTTTAAGAGTTATACAGTTTTGCATAATATAGTATCAATTATTTTGTCCTTTTTAGCTGAGCTATTGTATTCCCATACATCCAAACAGTTGATATATTTAAGTTAAAATACTTAACTAGCATTACTTAAACTATTCAGGATTCACATTTTAGCCACGGGTACAAAAGTATTGCATCGGGTTGCTTCAAAAGTTACCGGTACCTCAAGACTTAAAGCTTGTAATTATAACTTAACAATCGTTTTTCTAGAATTTGAGTAAAATTCCAAAATGGTTGTCTTTCATTGAAATAACCTCATCAAGTGAGAGTTGGGACAAGTACCCATGGCACTATTCTTAATGCACATTTCCTATGAACGCACAAATCATGTAACAATTAATATGCACTCTATTATGTACACATTTTTTTATAAATAATTGTGTCTTTTTGTTATTATTTTTCACAAAAATTGTAATGAAAGTGCCTTTTAAAGATAAGAAATGCCATATTTTCATGCTGATCTCAGGGAATTTAAATTGCCTTGTAATGTATGCAGCTTACATGGGTGTAACCAAGTTTTTGGGTCCATGCCAATATTTGTTGCCCTAAAGATGTTACATTGACCCCCTTCTACCACTTCGAAATGTCATCCAGTAGCTAGCACATTTTAGAATTAAAAAGACTTTATTTTTAGTTCTGTAAGCTAACAATATGTAGCTTTACCATCTCCTTAAATGTAATTATGTCACCACCAAGAAGTGGTGACATATCGTTATGGTCTCCGTTTTTTTTGTGGCGGCGGTTGGCATCTGTAACAAATTCTTAAAAGTTCCAATATCTTAACAAATACTGTTTAGACTAACTTCAATTTATTTCCAAATCATCTACAAGTTTTCAGAAGTTCAAATCCGACATTAGATTCAAGATTTGACCTTCAATGACCTTTTAAGGTCAAAAAAGGTCAAAAAGGGTTTTTTCAACCTGCTTAATTTTTTTTTCAAAATCATCTTCAAGTTCTTAAAGGTTCAAATCTGACTATAGATTTGACCTTCAATGACATTCTCAAGGTCAAAATGATTTTACCTTCAATGACTTTATCAAGATTAAAAAGGTCTTTTTTCAACTTGCTTCAAATTGACCAATTTTTCCAAAATCATAGATACAAGTTCTCAGAAGTTCAAATCTGGCTTTAGATTTAAGATTTCACCTTCAACGACCTTCTCGGAGTCAAAAAACTTGCTTCAAATTGACCAATTTTTTTCAAAATCATCTACAGAGTTCTCAGAAATTCAAATCTGACTTAAGATTGAACTAATAATATTGTGAGCAACTAGGTGGTGACATTTTGTCATGTTAATGCCTTGTTAATTGTAATATTTGTGGGTACAGGTATTGTCCATCAAATAGGGAGAATATTGAAACATTAGAGAGCTAATAATCATGAAATCACAAAAAATATTCCCAGGGAAGGATCCGTGTAATTAAAAAATTACATCAAAGATGAAGGCTATATTTTTGATACAACTTAATGTTTACAGTAGGCCTATGTTTCTTTATTTCCACCTTGATAGATGAATACTATATTTAAAAATAAAGCTGTTAGAGTAGGTGGTAGTTTTAGAAATTCAGTGACATAAACTGAGATAAAAGTATCAAACTATTATGACATGGAGAAAACATGTTTGTAATTTCTGAATTACTAGAATTTGCTTGGAAATTGTAATACATTGCTCAAATTGCTAATGTTGAGTAGCTTATGCAAACACCAATGATTAACAAACGCTGCTTTATATGATGTGATTTACTGCAAAGATGTTTACACGCAGACTTGTTTTTCAAATATCTCACATTATTATGCAAAATAAATTTTATTATCGAGACTGGTATATGACATTGTTGTTATTATTGTTATATTATGTGGAGGCATAATACCTTAATTAAGTACAGGAACTCCCAAGTGCCAAAAGAAACCTGGATACAGGATTCATTCTGTATTCAATATATTTTGCGTGTATACTTGTACGAATATACAGGGTGGGTAAAAAATGATATAGACCTTTTTGAAAATGCATGGATTTCAGTAAACTTTTGGCAGGATATGCATAAATCAATTTTACAAATGTTCCTAAAGTGGGATTAATAAATCTGTATGGATTTTTGAAAATTGAAGGTAAACATACACTAGGGGTCCGTATGAAAATTTACAGACTTCAGGATGAATAAGTTAGTAAGATGAAGAAAAACTGATTCACCATCAAGAGGAAACAGTGATTTGGCAAAATCTGTCTTCACAGTGAACGCTATTCTGAGATCTTATTTGTGGCAAGAAAGATCTCCATGGTGCTTGATTGAGCTCACACATTAATAACCTGTTGCTTCATTGTCCTTGAAGACTCAGATTAATACTAAATAAGAACATCATTTTTCATTCAGACTTTCGCCTACCAGTTCCGTTTTTCTTTATAAAGTTGTCAGGATCAAAATTTAAGCACACCATTGGAACGCTATTTTTGTCATATTGAATGTAGTTTTTACCAGATTGACGTTTAACAACTGAGAAATTTGATTACGTAAATTAATATTTTAAAAGATGACGAAGTGATTTTAAAGACCGACAATGTTAGTCTGTAATTTTCATACTGAACATAATGTAATGTTAAGTTTTCTCATTCGTAAGTTTTCTTTTTCGTAAACCCACAATAACGAGAAAGATAATATTTTCTGATTTGATCAGGCTTAATATTTGGAGATATAAGGTATTTAGTTTTCGAGGTGATAAACGTTTGATCATTTGCTATCACGACTTGATGACTAGTGCCTATTCGATGCAAACTTTTTCGCGTGCCTTGTTTTTATGTTTCAACCATTTTTTGTTGTTTAAAAATTGGATCAAGTTAATCTTATCGCAGGTCCGTTAGTCCCCCGGGGATAGACCTTAACCTGCTCCAAGAAAAATAAAGTGTCGTTGTCTGGTACTCCGCCACAAAAAATGAAGATACCGTTTCAAAGTCGTGCATAGCCCCATGTTAGTCAATACACCCTTGCCCAAATCCTCATTTTCTAAGCAAAAGCCCCGTTACCGGATAAATGTAACATATTCCAATATAGAGCATATATGTAGGAACATTATTCAGCGGTTCGTTTTTGTGGCGGACATCTAGAGCTCTTAGAAAAATCAGATCAGGGACTATGACTGGATAATTATTAATTGTGTTGTTTTCTACAGCCAGAGGTTACTGTTGTAATTATAAATAACTACTAAAACATCAACAAAAACTTCACTTGGTAGCAAAACCTAAATATTTCAAAACCTCATATTTTGAATATAACAAAAACAATGTGTTCTGTGTTTTGAATTATGGCATTGCATTTTTTAATTCTCCTGTCTCCTGTAGCGTGCCCGATTGAGCACCGAGGTATTACGAAAACAGTTGTTATTAGATCCATCGGAAAACCAATCGAGAGGGGGACAGTAATGACTGGAGGTGATGTACAAGTTCTCTTAAAACGTATATAGTGCTCTACATGCTGTATATATTTATCTATCGGAACTTTTTCTTGGGAAATCAAGCGGTTTTGCTTTTATTACATTTGTTTTGCAAGGCAAACATATTAACGAATAGTTTAAGTTACAAAAATTTATTTTTTGTATAATTGGTACAAATGTTAAGCTAGTGAATAAAAATCAATGAAACATAGTAATACATCAAATGTATACAATAGATAATGACTTATGGAAGAATAAAGCCATCATCAAATCTGAGATTGTCATTAATAGCTTCATAAAAACATTCCACGCATCAGTAACTCTTGCACAATACGAGACAGTTAATATACAGATAAATAAAATTTATGCAGCATTTTTTGATTAATTGTGCAAATAAAAATGCCAACAACCCTGATAATAATGTCATCTGATTGTGTTATGCAAGATTTGCGTATCGGAATAAAAAGTAAAATATCCAAGAAAGTGTGCATTCTATAATCAAACTAAACCATGTTTTCAGCACCACCGTATGCATACATGGAACAGGGTGATAGTGGACCATACGGAATCTCAGTTAGGCATAATAATGGATTTCTTGTGCATTGCGAATATCAATTATGATTAATTGTCCGAATTGGATTTCCTTGAGGTTAAATGTTTTTTTTTGGTTTTGTTATAGTTCAAGATTTGTGTAGTATTCATATGCCCTTTGATAGCAGTGCTGCGCTGAATACAGTGGTTTGTACTTAAGCTGTCTCCTTGCCTTGTCCCCGTTGTAGTAGCACGTTGTACACGCCATCACCAACTCATTCTTGGAAGAAGGCATGCGTATCTTTAATACCGGTGAAATCAGTATAGTGAACCACTCAATGATGGACCAGAAGAAATACAAGAACAATAGTGGAATTTCTATGTTTAACAGCTTCACCTTGTGGGCTTCGAGAAAGGGCTTGGCCCACAGGAAGTTGTTACAGACCGGGCTGTCGTCCGTGATAATATAGGACGTCCCACTGATATTCTCCTCCTTTCGTATTGTGTTTAGCGTACAGACGTGAGCCCAAGCTACGTTACCAACATACACGCGCTGCATTTTGACTTCTGCTGATCCAAGAATGGGTAATATCCCTACGGATTTGCCTATCTTCATTATGACGGTGATGTATTTAGAATCGCCTTCACCGTAAATACCACAGGGGCGCAATGATATTGTCTTCATAGTTTTGCCATTATGAAGTATTGTACCATTAGCAGCTAGGGCTTCACGTTCAGCTTTGGATTTCGTTCTTGCGTAGCCATTTAAAATGAGGTCGTCTCTGGTCTGACTCTGGTCGACGTCATCTTCATCTGCTCCTAAGATTGGATCCCAACTTCTACCCAGTTCTGACGTTCCAGTGTAGATTAGATATTCCACACCTTGTTCAATGCAAGATTCTAAAACATTTGATGTTCCTGAAAATAGAGTTATGAGCTACAGATAAATGGACCACTCCAACAGTGAGTTAAATGTGATTGTTCAGAATTTGACTTAGTGTTGGCGCCAAAGACAACAAGGAAGTTAAGTTAGCAGTGTTTTTGAGAACAAGAACGCGACAAATTACGATCATCGACTTTCTCAATTTCCTAGGTGGCCTTTACTCCAACTCTAATAAGGATGAAGGGTGGGGTGACAATACGGGTCTTGTCAAATCTCTTTTGTGCATTTTTGCAACTTGCTCAATCTATCTTCAACATTCGGCACTGTATGGATCTAAACATAAACAGAAGACCCCTTTTGGTTACAAAAACTTCGAAGGTACGAATTTTCTTTTTTCCTTATTTCGCGAGTTGTAATCTCCAAGACATAATACATCTACACGTTTTCGAACAAATAGTTCAGAAGACGAAAGCATCATAGATATAATACCTTACTATTATTACATGTATTACCTAAACGGATTAAAGTGTAGATCTCAACCGTTTCTGAAGTCCGTTTACGTGACCAAAGTGACGTACGTTTATCGATGATTCTATCGTCTTATGAACTATTTGCTTGCAAACGTTTAGATATTCTTAAATATATGATACTGAAACATCGTTTGTGATAAAAATGTTGAAATTATGCCTACAACTTCTGAAATAAGGAAAAAAGAAAAATCCTAACTTCGACGTTCCGACATTTTGTAACTACTTTGAAAAATGCAGTACCAGTGCAAGTCTAGTGCCAAGTCTCCCCCTCCCCGATGGTAAAGGAGGTTATTAGTTAGAGGTCATGGCTAATTTTTGTTAGAACAGGGTAAGCCAACATATGTTTACGAAGTTGATACTGTATCTGACGAAATCGATAACGCGATTACTTCGTGATCCGCTATGATTGTTTACATTGGAAATTTGAAACAATGGCCATAGTATTACACAACGCTTCAAGAGGTTCTTGATATTCTCATCTAAAATCATTGGAAATTTGGCATGAATTCCAACACATTTTTTCATTTCTTACACCTTGGCCGAATATATTATTTGATGTCAAGCATATAATAAAGCAATATTAAATTCAGAAAAAAGCTAAATGTCTGGATAATTTTGTAATTGTTACTCATGTCAAATCTGTACTCCCCAATAAAACTAATTTGGAACGGTCTCTAAGTTTGAGTGTTGGACATTTAAGTTAGTTAAATGTCATGTAGTTTAATATTTTATACCAAAAGAAGCAAAATCAAACTTTATATTACAATAGTTACCGTTTGTCTGCTAAAACACAAATCGTTGCGGTGAAACGATTTTTTATGATTATGGTGAAATGTTTATGCAAATATTTCCATAACTTTAGAAAAACAATATTTCACGTATGCCTACCTTTGACATTAATGGAATCCATAACTTCATGGTCGGGTAAATTCCCCGTGTCAATGATAGATGCGCAATGGATCACTGCGTTTACGCCTGTAAACGCCTCTTGGATTTTCCCTTTGTTCCGTATGTCGCCCTGGAAGTATTTCAACTCTATCCCTGCCATTTTTCCATCGAAACCTGAAAATTGTTGACAATTACTGAATCTGCACGTACGTCTGGAAAATTACATAGTTGTACTTTCAGTTGTTATTCCCGAATTATCTATAGATCTGCTTAGAATTAATATGCGGTAATTGTTCAAGAGGAGTTCATTTACCAGCATGATTGATTGGAATAATCAACCGCTAGATGAGAAAAAGTTATAATAAAAAGAATTAAGCTAGGTGAAAATGACTTGTTCATAATGCTTCAAATCATGACAGATGCATGTGCACTTGTAGCACTGCATTGTCACCATCGTTCACGCAATTGTCAACGTCGGTAAATGTCTAACTTGATCGTAACCTGTTGCAAATTAGTAAAATGAATGGATGTCTTAGTCTTATGCAAGACACAAATAAGTAATGTGCACGTGGTGCCATATATGATGATATTCTGATACTCATCACATCATTCTGTTTCACTATAATCAATGCTATTGCGTGTCATAATCAATGCTGTTACGTTACATAAATAATAACGATGTTATATTTTATTCTCACCTAAATTTAAGTCATCTGGTTTTTGTTGGATGTCGAGGACTCGTATTTCGGCTACGTTTTCGCCTCTCTCTGCCACCAGTTTGACGAGGTGCTTCCCAAGAAATCCGCATCCTCCAGTTACGAGAACAACATCCCCCCTGGGCGTCTCATTGAGCATCTCTACAAGTAAATTGTGGACAAGTGTTGGTGAAATAGTTATCTGAACATTTGGTGACTTTCTCTTTTGGTTTGAGGGTTCTCATTTTAGGCATCTATTTACAATATTAGAGTTATAAGCCAGGGGTAGACCATTGTATCTCGGAGAACTAGGCTTTTCCCGGAACAGATGCACCCTGAGTCACAACCGAAACATGCTTAGGCCTTATATTAATGTTCTCATTCGAACCAAAGACAGAAATCTTTTGATGCAATATTCAGCGCTGGCAGGGATATTTTTCCTGAAAATGTAATCTAAATGATCATATGATGGACCCCTTATGTTCTAGGAATAGGCTTGGTACGGAGAGGAATTGGCCCTTTTGGAAACACATCCAAAAAACTAGTTTCTACCACTCCTATTCCATCAATCAGTAAGCGATATTTGAAAAGTCATAATATGTTATCCTGATTTGATCGGATAGCAATACACTTTTATCTTGCTAACATTTTTACATCATTATCATTTTACCAATAAGATTTCTCGAACAACACTTTTACAAGAGTTTATATACACTCTGTACTTTGAACCGAATCACATTATCTCTCAGAGACGACGGACTCTAGTAAGCTGGAAATGTTTAATTAGAGGAGATCTGTGCTGCAGTGTCGAGAGGAATTCACTACTTTCAAACTTACTAAGGGTAGTAATATGTGTAAGCAGGTTGTATTGAAGTTCTAAAATGATTATTGCTTGTTTTGACAAAATGACATGTTATTTTCGTTACACCTTTTGATGTTGCAAATTCCAATTTTTAAATTGTTGACCAAATTGTTTTATTTGGGGAAACTGCGTCACTCGTATCCGATGTTTACATAGATTCGTCCTTACTTTTACCGTCTGCAAACGCAAACTAAGTACAGTATGTATACTACATGCAAAGAAAGTGAAAGTAAACAAAACTTCGTATGTTAGAAATGATTCGCCCAAAGTTTAATAAATAAAAATCACACTTATATAAGAAATTAGTGAGACACGATTAAAATAGTACTACATATATAAGCAATTATTGAGACACGATTAAAATAGAACAATATATATACGAAATTATGGCACCGAAATTATTGAGACACGATTAAAATAGTACTATATATATAAGCAATTATTGTGACACGATTACAATTGAACAATATATATAAGAAAATATTGAGACACGATTCAAATAGTACTACATATATAAGCAATTATTGTGACATAATCAAAATAGAGCAATATACAAGGGGCGATCCATATATTCTGATAAAAATGCTCTCATTTTGTGATTTTTTCACATATCCCTTTCATTTTTTCAGAACAACTAGATTATGTCATTACACATATGATGCTAAAATATTTTAGCTGTATCTTAAATTAATTTTGAAATAAGGTTGCCATGGTAACCTGTATTTAGGGTAGGCAGGTCAGTTAAATTATAACGTCTAAAATAGATAAATATGTTAATTTAATCATTCCTCGGTACCTATTTTAAGCAGATCAAACGCATCTTCCAGTCATTGTCAACTATTCATTTATCTGTTCCATACCCCTGTTGCCCTTGTTTGATAATTTATACAGTGGGATAGCTATCTCTTCATAAGTAACATCTCAATTTATCGTAGTGTTATTCTCTGTCCGCAAGCTCTTCTTGCAATCAGATTGCGGATGATCTTCAACACTGACCATGCTTTCCTCTTTACAATACTACCTATGTATTCTTTATGCAGATATAACACCTTGCCCATGCACTTTATGAGTCCATGTATGTCTCTGACAGCGTCCTCTTACTTATTCTTGAAAGAAAATCAAATCTAATGGTATTCCTTAATGTATCCGTTAATGTGACACTCTGCATCAGCCACATTAACCTAATCTGACAATTTGATTTTTGGTGTGTCTCATAACATGTAATGTCAATTGGCCCATTCTGTCCTACAATGCTATTGTGATTTGTTGTGATGTTATAGTGAGCACATATAAACATTTGTTTAGCAACAAACAACGAGTAACAATACCAAACTTTTTTAGAAAAAATGCATGATTTCCGCATGCTTTAAAATAATTGAAATAACAAGTTATTTTGATATTTATATGTTATAATTAAATTGACCTGCCTACCCTTAATACAGGTTACCATGGCAGCCTTATCTCATTGATAATTTAAGATATAGCTATAATATTTTAGCATTGTATGTGTAATTACATAATCTACATTTTCTGAAAAAATGAGAGGGATATGTGAAAAAATCACAAAATGAGAGCATTTTTATCAGAATATATGGATCGCCCCTTGTATAAAGAAATTATTGAGACACGATTAAAATAGAACTATATATATTAGCAATTATTGTGACACAATTAGAATAGAACAATATATAGATAAGAAATTATTGAGACACGATTAAAATAGTACTATATATATAAGGAATTATCGTGACACAATTAGAATAGAACAATATATATAAGAAATTATTGAGACACGATTAAAATAGTACTATATATATAATAAGCAATTATTGTGACGACGATTAGAATAGAACAATACATCTAAGAAATTATTGTTAATTTAAATTTAAACAGTGTTAAAATAGAACAATATATATAAAACATTATTGTGACACGATTAAAATCGCACTACCTATATATATATAAGATATTATCTAAAATAGTACAATTTATATAAGATAATATTGTGACACGATTAAAATTGTACAATATATGTAAGAAATTATTGAGACACGATTAAAATTGTACAATATATATAAGAAATTATTGTGACATGCTTAAAATAGTACTATAAATATAAGATATTATTGTGACACGATTAAAATTGTATAAAAAATATATGAGAAATTATTGAGACACGATTAAAATTGTACAAGTTATATAAGAAATTATTGTGACATGCTTAAAATAGTACTATAAATATAAGATATTATTGAGACACAATTAAAATAGAACTATATATATAAGCAATTATTGTGACACGATTAGAATATAACAATATACATAAGAAATTATTGAGACACAAAAATAGTACTATATATAAAAGCAATTATTGTGACACGATTAGAATAGAACAATATATATAAGAAATTATTATATATAAGATATTGTTTAAAATAGTACAATTTATATAAGAAATAATTATTGTGACACGATTAAAATAGGACAATACATATAAGAAATTATTGTTAATTTCAATTTTAACAGTGTTAAAATAGAACAATATATATAAAACATTGTTGTGACACGATTAAAATAGTACCATATATATAAGATATTGTTTAAAATAGTACAATTTATATAAGATAATATTTTGACATGATTAAAATAGTACAAAATTAATAAGAAATTATTGTGACATGCTTAAAACAGTACTATAAATATAAGATTATTGTGACATGATTCAAAGAGTACAATATATAATAAATTATTGTGGCACGATTAAAATAGTACTGTATACCGAAACCCTTGCCCAGAAGCATTATTATTATTACAAAGAACGCTTGTAAATGTTGCTTGGATTGTGTGAATAATATTACAGTATTATATTATTTTAAAACAAGGCATTAACATGCAAAATGTCACCACCTGCCATTTGTTACTGACACCGACCGCCGAATGCCATTTGTTACTGACGCCAACTGCCAAACACCACCAACAAAAGAATTCGGAGACTATAACATGTCACCCAGCAATTAATGAACGATAGTTCCTGAATAATCGAAACTGCTTGATCTTCCTTTCCAAAGAATTTGATCGATACAAATATTGATAATTGTCTTCAACAAGGTATTGTTTTTGGTCCATCCCATACACAACTTTTGGTGAGGAATAAATATGTGTAGAATGTTTCTTCAAGATACATCTCAACAGCTCTCGGACTTGTACCAGGTCGTTCAATAAGTTCATGCAAAATCATTCTCATTTTTTTGTTTTTCTATGTTTCTCCTGGAAACTTTCACAAAACATAGAAAAAATATCTACACATTAAAAAAACAAAAAATTAAATTACTTTGTTCTGCTTGATCAAAAGTTATGGTTGCTATGGTAACCTGTGTTTTGGTCACGCGGGGCAATTTATGACACGAAAAAAAGTTCAATTTTAATTAAACTCTTGTGAATTATAAGTTGCACATGTACAACACTATAAAACATTGTCTTTTCAAATTGGAGGTTCCTACCAAACATGTCACTTCATTGAATGGCCAAAATATTCCCCTTTATACTGGATGCATACATGTAGTACCTGGTGCTTCACCCATTCTTCATATTGAGCCATAAAATAACAAGGGAATTTAGCGTGCAAGGCACTCTGGGCAGCTGCAGTGAGCTCTGTCATGCCAGCATACCAAACACCCCTCAGTTCATCTTTCATCCTATTGAACACCCAAAGTCCAATACAGCCTCATTGGGGAGTATGCAACCTGGTCTAAAACTCCCATTTGCAGGGTATCCCGGATAGTATCCCGAACCATATTTGCTCGATGGCATGGGACATTGTCTTGGTGAAATTATTTGAAGACGGGGGTAATTTTAGGCCGTTTCTTTTGTAAAGCTCGCTCCGGGCGGAACTCGCTTAAGGTTGCGTTTAAGAAATAAACTATGATGATATTACAATACAAATGTAATTGCAACCCGATTGCTAGTTGCTACCAATGCAACAATAGCTGTTTTATTCAAAATGAAAGAATAATGTTCTTGCATAATAACTTTCTCCAAACTTTAGACTTGGGATTCGCAAACAGAAAAATATTGCCCCGTGTGACCAAAACACAGGTTGCCATAGCAACCATAACTTTTGACCAATCAATATAAAGTAATTTATATTTTGATATTTAATGAGTATACATTTTTTCTATGTTGTGTGAAAGTTTCAAGGAAAAACATTGAAAAATAAAAAAATTAGAATGTTTTTGCATGAACTTATTGAACGACCTGGTATAATCAATTATGCCATCTAAATACATCTTGATTCCCTACT